CTCCGTCTCCTATGACAAGAAGGCAATAACCATCGACGGCCGCCGGAGGATTTTGATCTCTGGCTCCATTCATTATCCGAGAAGCACTCCTGAGGTGAGATTTCAATAAAAGTGCAGTCTTTTTCAACAAATGCAGCTGTTTTCTCGCTTGCCCACTTAAATATTTTGGGTTCTTTTTTTTCTTCATTTGGGTATTGTTCAGATGTGGCCGGATCTCATTCGAAAGGCTAAAGATGGGGGCTTGGATGTGATTCAAACCTATGTTTTCTGGAATGGGCATGAGCCTGTCCAAGGCCAGGTAAAATTCTTGAACTTGAGCTTTTTCTTTTTGGTGAGAGTTTTGATGATTTTTCGATGACTTTCTTTTTGTGGGCAGTATTATTTTGAGGACAGGTATGACTTGGTCAAGTTCATCAAGTTAGTACAGCAGGCTGGCCTATATGTCAATCTGCGCATTGGCCCTTATGTTTGTGCTGAATGGAATTTTGGGTAATAAGAAATTTTGCTATGGATTGATTTATTAATTTCAATATTCATGTTTAATTACGTTTGTGGTTTATTGTAATATATAGGGGATTCCCTGTTTGGCTCAAATATGTGCCTGGTATCAGTTTCAGAACTGATAACGAACCTTTCAAGGTACATAAATATCTCCAAATTTAGCTAATAATAAAGTTTATAATCACATAGGAAAATATTTTGATCTTGTCCCTTTTACAGTGGGCAATGCAGAACTTTACCCAGAAGATCGTTGGAATGATGAAATCAGAAAATCTATTCCAATGGCAGGGTGGCCCTATTATCATATCTCAGGTTTCAAGTTTTCAACATTATCTCTACAAATTGATAGTAATACTAATATTGCTTGTATTGATATTAACTTATTTCTTGCTATATTTTCGCAGATTGAGAATGAATTTGGGCCTCTAGAATGGGATCAGGGGGCTCCAGCAAAGGCTTATGCAGCTTGGGCAGCGAAAATGGCACTCGACCTTGACACTGGGATTCCATGGATCATGTGCAAAGAAGATGATGCCCCTGATCCTATTGTAAGTTTCCTCTTCACTTCTTTCAATAATTTTGGATTCCTTTTCAGTGACAGCTTAGTTAAGGAATTTATAATTGTGTTTGCCTTCTCTCCAAGGACCCACTGCACATGCTGTAGTATTCTTTTATTCTATCTCACTGCACCTCTTTAAATAGTCAAATTGAATCATTCTTAATAGTAAAACATTTTCTTGAATTCTTGTAGATTAACACGTGGAATGGATTTTATGTCGATGATTTCTCTCCAAACAAGCCATATAAACCCTCTATGTGGACTGAAGTCTGGACTGCTTGGTAATTGCTTGAATTCTAAGCAATTTTTCTTTAGTTTAATTAGGAAGAGTTGGTTATTTTTGAGTCAAATTCACAACCTTTTGTTTTCTTTTGTATAAATTTCAGGTTTACAGGGTTTGGAGGTCCAGTTCCTTATCGACCCGTTGAAGATGTGGCCTTTGCTATTGCACAGTTTATACAGAAAGGTGGATCTTATTTCAACTACTATATGGTGAGGATTTAATGTACTATGTATGTGTTTCATCGAAATACTATGTTTCACAAGTGTGATTGTTATTTACTTGCTTTTTGGCTATAGTACCATGGTGGAACGAATTTTGGCAGGACAGCTGGTGGTCCATTCATCGCTACAAGCTATGATTATGATGCTCCAATTGATGAATATGGTCAGTAAATCTTCTGCACTGTTTAATAAGTATGATTAGTTTGCCAGTTTCTCACTTAACACCTTTCTCTTCGAGTCACTATGCAGTCATTTTTAACTTAGGCAAATTTTAGCACTTAAGAGAAGATATGTCTCTTACCAAGTACACTTTATAGGTAGATACTTTCAATGTGCACACCTATTAGGCATACACTAACACACTTTAAACATTAAACAAGGTAATCTTCTTGCACTACTAATGAGTAGTACACTAGAGAAGGTGCAAACACTTAAGAAATTAATAACAAATAAATACATGTTTAATATACACTACTCTATCACCAATTATGGCATAAAACATATTAATCCGGGATCACGTTTTGTCCTTGCTCTCTGTCAACTCTTGAAAATTTACACTCTTTTTCCATAGGTCTGTTAAGAGAACCAAAATGGGGCCATTTGAAAGACTTGCACAAAGCAATCAAGTTCTGTGAACCTGCTTTGGCTTCTGGGGATCCTATTAGGACATCACTTGGAAGCAATCAAGAGGTAGACTAGCTATAAACCAATATTCTTTATGTAGAACATCCTTATAAATGGTTTACAAACTAACTCTTCATCATTCCTTGTTACAGTCTCACGTTTTCAGGTCAGATTCAGGAGATTGTGCGGCATTTCTTGCCAATTATGATACTCAACATTTTATTAAAGTAGCTTTCAATGGGATGCACTATGATCTTCCTCCTTGGTCTGTTAGCATCCTTCCTGACTGTAAAACCACTGTCTTCAACACTGCTAGGGTGAGCAAGACCTTTGATTCAACGTCATACAATTCACTAATCTCTTGTATAGATGTATAATACAAAATTGGCTTTTTCTAATATATAAGTCACGCATATTTGCAATTATTTGCAAAGCTGCCCTCTAAATAATCAACTTTGGGGGGAAAAACTCCCCAAATCAACAAATAACTTTGTGGGATATGGTGATAAAATTATGACTATTTTCTTTGATATTGGGAGTAGTCTTGCAAATATTGAGATTTTTGTGTGTGCATGTGCATTTTTTTTGGGGGGGTGGGGGAGTGTTGCAAATATGCATGATTCACTTGGTAGATATACAAAAAAATCCAAATTTCTATCCTAATTAAGTTAGTGCATTCTTTGTACTTACATTCATGACCAATTAGATTATTTTTCTCAACAAATTTAGTCATGGTGACTTACTAGACTGATGTAAACAGGTAGGAGTCCAAACCTCACTGATGAAAATGGATTCCGTTGGAGAGTTCTCGTGGGTATCTTACAACGAAGACACAACCTCCTACGATGATAACTCGTTCACAGCAGATGGATTATTGGAGCAAATAAATGTGACGAGAGACGCCACAGACTACCTTTGGTACACAACAAAGTGAGTACTTAATCTTTGTGACTTAATCTTCGAAAGTGTAATTCTTTAATCTTCTCTGTTGGGTCTAAACTCTTTATTTCATCCATGTTTCAGTTTCGATATAGATGAAGGTGAACAATTTCTACAGAGTGGACAATATCCTGTCCTCACCGCAATGTCAGCTGGTCATTCTTTGCATGTTTTCATCAATGGGCAACTAGCAGGTTTGTTACTGCTGCCTCCTAGTCATAGAGAATTTTTTATATTGGTGAAAGTTTCAAGAAGTTCACACTGAAGAATACACTTTTGTTGCCTTTGAATGAGCTAAAATAAAATAAAATAAAGCTCAGGGAAATATATGTTGGTTTTTGGGAGTGTAGACCAAAACCTGGGAACAAAATCAACACGCAGCAGAGATCGCTTTGAGTTAAGAAATCAGGTGAACTTGGAAGATCAGGCGAAGCTGAGTTCAGGCGAAGCTCGATCAGATCAGGCGAACTTGTGAGTTCAGGCGGACTTGACTATGTTCAGGCGAACATAAGTCAGGCGAACTTCGCAAGTTAGGCGAACTTCGCAGAAAACAGATTCCTATTCTGTTTTAGTTTTAGGGTAGGTATACTTTATGAAGCACAAGTTAGAGGTGTTTGGGATCTTCAAGAAGTGGAAAGTCGTGGTAGAGAATGAGACAAATCTGAAGGTGAAGTGTCTAAGATCAGACAACGGTGGAGAATACGAGCTGGAGGAGTTCAATAAGTTCTGTGTTCTGAATGAGATTCATTTAGAGAGGACTACTCCAGGAACACCGCAACAAAATGGCGTTGCAGAGAGAATGAATAGAACGTTGACAGAGCGTGCGAGGGGCATGTGTCTACATGCAGGTCTACTTAAGACGTTTTGGACAAACGTGGTGCATACAACAACATACTTGATAAATCATGAGCCGTCAGTCCCACTAGACTTCGTGATTCTAGAAGAGGTTTGGAGTGACAAGAAAGTTAATCTCTCACACTTGAGAGTCTTTGGTTGTGTGACATATGTTCATATCGGTGACCATGTCAGGGACAAGCTAGAAGCTAAGTCACATAAGTGTATATTCATTAGATACGACATTGATGAGTTCAGATATCATCTGTGAGATGATAAGAATAGGAAGATAATCAGGAATAAAGATGTCATATTTAATGAAGAGGTAATGTACAATGACAGACAATATCAATGATAGCCAAAGCAGTGGGAGCAGCACTAAGGATGCTGTCACGCCCCGCTTCCCAAAATACCAGGGAATCGGGACGTGAACAAGCCCGCGACGTATTAGATTGAGAAGAAATATACTCTACCTTTTTTTTTCTCTTTCTTTTCTTCTCAATCCAATACGCTAAGCGTCTAGAAACAAATACAATGCGAAGTCACAGGTCCCCGATCACACATAGCAAGAATACAATGAACAACTCAGAATGGAAAAGATACATATCACAAATGAATATCATCCAAGACATAATATTCGGGTCAAACATGCCCTTATACAAATATGAACAAATGAATACTGAAAAGATACAAAATACACTGATCAAATAAAAATGGAAGGTAGTACAAAAGAAAACGGAGGACCAATAACTAAGCTTCAGCTTCTTCGGCTCCGTCTGCAGGGCACTCCTGCTGAGAATCCTCTGGCTCCTAATGATCTCCCGGCTGAACCTGTTCTTCATCTAAGTCTGACGTACACCAGAGAAAACAGGTGTACGTCAGGTGCATGGCGCACGGCAAGACCCGACCCCACAAGAAAATAGAACGAACGGAAATCCAATGCGAAAAACGATACGATAACAGAAACAACAAAAGAACGTACAACTGAAATCCATAAATCAACATGAAATCCACTACCAAAACATGATAGTCATAAGAATCCGTAAATCAACCGGGTAACGAAATCATGCAGCTAGCGATCAAAATAATCATCCAAGTAACATGTTCATACACTAGATGGAATTAATACTTAAAAATCTACAACTCGAGACGTAGTACGTCGAGCGAAATAATCCAAACAAGGAAACCCTCATGTATATACCATATGTCTCGAATTGTAAATAATTAAATATTAATCCCGACCCCAGGCCGAAACAAGACGCTGGCGCGAGCCTGGAAAATAAATAATAATCTCGATATCACCTCACCTCAGACCCACCCCAGGCCGAAACAAGACGCTGGCGCGAGCCTGGAAAATACATCAACAATCACATATCACGATACCTCAGACCCATCCCAGGCCGAAACAAGGCGCTGGCGCGAGCCTGGAAAATACTACAATCACAATATCACAACTCCTCGGACCCACCCCGGTGACTACACAAACTTCACCAGCGCGAGCCCGGAATATACATCAACAATCACAACCGCTCACATGGACCAAGACTTCTCATCCCAATTCTCGTAATTCCAGGTCAACTACACACGGTGTTCTAGATCCTAACTGTGTCATACGGGTCACTATAGTCATAAACTCCTAATGATTCTCAATCACAACATGAAACAATCAATGCAACAAATCATGTGCAACAATATCATATCATATCAGATAATCAAAATAAGAAATATAAATCATAAACAACATCTACATAATTCAGGAAATAATCTTTTTCTAAATAAATTCATTTTAAATTATTTCACTTAACAATTAATCTAAACTAATTCATTTCCAAAATAAATTCTTTTAAATTATTATAATTATCTAAAAATGATTCTTTTGCCGAACTAAATTCTTTTAATTCCTTATAATTATTCTGAAAATGTCATTTATCACATATCCATTATGTAAATCAATATTATTTACCAAACAACCCACGCAGATAAATACGACACAATTAAACTATGCAAATAATTCATAAAAAATATAAATAATCAAACTACGAAACAGGAGAGCGGAATCTTGCACATAAATAATCTATGACAAATATAAGGATTGGAACGAAACTAAATAAGGATCGGGATCTTGCCTACGCGTCGAACAGATCGACGTTGCGGCGCGGGGATGGTTCGACGGCTGTCCGACGAGGAGACGGTGGTTCTGTGCCGAGGCGGTTAGCCGGCGAGGGGAGGCGGTTCCGACGGCGTCGTCGGGGCTGCCTCGGAGTTGGCGTGGAAGAAGAGGATCGCCGGCGGATGCTACTCTGTGGTCGGATGCGCATCTAGACTGAAGGAGCAGAGGCAGGTTGGGGAGGAGAGCAGCGGCCAAAAAGAGGGTGGTGGCGGCTGGTTGAAGGCAGCGCGACTGGAGTCGCTGTTGGTGGCCGACGGTGAAGAGGGGGAACGGACGAGGGGTTGCTGAGGCGGGCGGGCAGCGGCGACGGCCAGCGGCGTGCTTCAGGTGCGCGGATGGCTGGCGAGCGGTCGGAGAAGGAGGGAAGGCGGCGTTCAGGGTCCCGGGGCGGTGATATAGGCGGTGGGTTCAAGTGGACAACGGCAGACTGAGGTTAAGAGGCGGCGGAGGAGGAGCACGGCCGAAAAACCTGGGCGTCGGGTCTCAGGCGAGGTTGCAGGGAGCTGGGGGTTGAGCGGTCGGGGAGAGCAGGTCGTCGGCAAGGCTCTGGGGTGAGGCGGTGGCGGAATGGCGCATGTACGTGGTCTGATAGGAGTTGGAGCGGCGATGATGGGCTGACGCGAGGAATAGGGCGGCGAAGGGAAGCGTGGTACGAGGAGAGGCGGCCAGCGGGTGAGGGTTCGGGAAGAAGAAAAAACGAGAGGAGAGGCGGTGGGTGTGAGATGAAAGGAGAAACGAAAATGAACAGAAATAATAATATAATAGAGAGAGGAGGGGAGATATGGTGTATATATATATATATATAATATATTATATATTATATATATATATATATATATATGATATATAGAGGAAAGGGAAATTAGGGTTTAGGGTTAATTAAGTTAAAACGAAATTAATTAAAAGAAATAACTAATGGTATTTAAAAATCAAATTAATTACGAGATAATTATCTACAATTAAAAACGTACACGTTGTGCTAATACAATAGTTAATACGAAATAGTCGAAATATATACATATTATACAATTAAATGAGAATAATTAATAATAAAAATATTTTTACTTATATTTAAAATCAAATAATTATGGGATAATTATATACACAGTAAAACGTACTAGTTATACTAATACGATAGATAATATGTAACAATAGAAATAATACAATAAATTATACCAAAAATACGTAATTAATAATACTATGTATTATATGAAATAATTTGTAATAATATTAATAATACAATATATTATTTAAAATATTACATAATAGTATTGATAACATAATAAATTAATTTCAGAAATTTTTATCACACAAAATAAATTTATAAATATCAAAATCATTTAAATAAATATATAATCAGATTTTTAAATCATAGAAAATTATACAAAATCGAGAAAATACAAATACTCTTTTTAAGAATAATAATTAAATATTTGAAAATACCGTAAAATTATTTTAACTAGTATCGAAAATTCATGGTCCTTACAGATGCAGGTGGATCCGAATACATGGATTTTGAGGAACTTCCAAATGGGGGAGATAATGTCAGTTTTAACCGAAGAACAGAGGAGACTCTAGGTGTAGAGACTACTACTCAGGACGAGGAGTTTAGGAGGTCATACAGGGTACCCAAACCAAATCCCAAATATCTTTCATCGCTAGATTATTTGTTTTTAACAGATAGCGGAGAACCGGAGTGTTATGAGGAGGCAATGTAAATTAGTGAATCTCAACAGTGGGAGTAGGCGATGCAAGAAAAGATGGATTCTCTCCATTCAAATGAGACACGAGAGTTAGCCTAGCTACCTGCACAGAAGAAAGCATTACATAATAAGTGGGTCTATCGGGTCAAGCAGGAGAGTGATGGAAGCAAGAGGTACAAGGCCAGATTAGTTGTGAAAGGATTCCAACAGAGAAAAGGAGTGAATTATACGAAAATAATTTTCCCCGTCGTGAAGCTTATAATCATCAGTGTGATATTGACCTTAGTAGCTGCTGAAAATCTCTATCTTGAGTAGTTGGATATAAAGACTGTCTTTTTTCATGGTGACTTGGATAAAAAAAATTTACATGAAGTAACTTGTTGGCTTCATAGAGGAAGGAAAGGAAGAGATTGTGTATAGGCTTAAGAAGAGTTTATACGGTTTGAAATATGCTTCAAGACAGTGGTAGTCTTATGTCAAGACAGTGGTAGTCTTATGTATGCAATTGTTTGCATGAGGTCGGATATCGCCTATGCAGTGGGAGTTGTAAGCATGTTTGTAAGCAATTCGGAAAAGCAGCATTGGGAGGCTATGAAGTGGATAGTGTGATACTTGAGAGGGATTACAGATATGCTACTGTGTTTTGGGAGAAATGAATTACTACAACAGGGATACGTGGATGCAGACTTTGCCAGTGATCATGATACAAATCGAAGTACCACAGGGTACATTTTTACCTTAGGGTCGACAGCAGTGAGCTGAGTCTCACGTTTGTAGAAAGTAACGTTGTCCACGACTGAGGCAGAGTATGTCACAGTAACTGAAGCTAGCAAGGAGGTGATTTGGTTAACCAGATGTCTGGAAGAGTTGCGACTGAAACGGGAGAACAAAGTTCTTTATTATGATAGCTAGAGTGCTATACACCTTGCCAATAATCCAGTATATCATGCCAGAGCGAAGCACATCGACGTACATTACCATTTCATATGCTCGCTGATAGAGGATGAGAAGTTACTATTAGACAAGATTTTGGGGAGCCAAAATCTTACAGATATGTTGACAAAGACAGTGACCATTGAGAAACTAGAGTTGTGCGCAACTTCAGTTGGTCTTCATGCGTGGGTAAGGTTTTAAATATCAGATATCGGGGAAATATCGGATGAACAAAATTCATATCGGATTGCGGATATCGGGGAAATAACGGGGATATGTGGTAAATATCAGAATGTCATAATGAATGTTTGCATACATAGTATAATGCATTAAAATGTAATCTCAACATATGTAATAAAATTTAAACATACAAAATATGAATAATATATGTTTAGGATCACTAATCAACCTTCTAAAACAAACAAAAGTGCAAAGCAACGTTGCAACATTCGATCTGCTTTTTTTAGGACAAAATATCATTTGATATAATGGCAAAAGTGCAAAGCAACGTTGCAACATTCGATCTGCTTTTTTTAGGACAAAATATCATTTGATATAATGGAAAAATCTTGATATCTCGCCTAAAAATTCCAAACACGGTATATTATTTTGCAACAAGCTATATAAAAAGATATATTGGTCCACATATCGGCTAATATATCGGCCATATCGGGGATTTATCACTCAAAATAGCCAAAAAACGGTAAAGGATATTTAAAAACCATATTGGTTGCGGCAAGCCCTGCAAAAGGATATATCGGGGGATATATCGGGTCATATCGGTGATATTTAAAACAATGTGCGTGGGAGATGAGGACAAAGCCATACTACTAGGAGGATAGGGGGATCACTGAGAATGATGTTGATTGAAGAAAGAGATTCTCCGGGTAGGAGAAGGTGCTTGCTAAGATGACTGGAATCCAAGTGGGAGATTGTTAGTTTTTGGGAGTGTAGACCCAAACCTGGGAACAAAATCAACACGCAGCAGAGATCGCTCTGAGTTAAGAAATCAGGCGAACTTGGAAGATTAGACGAAGCTGAGTTCAGGCGAAGCTTGATCAGATCAGGCGAACTTGACTATATTCAGGCGAACATAAGTCAGGCAAACATAAGTCAGGCAAACTTGTGAGTTCAGACGGACTTGACTATGTTCAGGCGAACATAAGTCGGGCGAACTTCGAGTGATCAGGCGAACTTCGCAAAAAAACAGATTTCTATTCTGTTTCGGTTTTAGGGTTTCCCTATAAGTAGGGAATCCTGGTGGCTATTTTTTGGCTGCGTTTTTCTTGTGCGAATTTCTGAGTGATTTTCAGATAACGCCCTTGACAGAGAGAGAGAGAGAGAGAGATATCTTCTTTTGCAAGCTTTGTAATCTTCTTCAAGAATCAAAGAAATTCTTCTTTTGCAAGCTTTGTAATCTTCTTCAAGAATCAAAGAAATTCTGGTGTGGCTCCCGAGGACGTAGTCACGTTTGCCGAACCTCGTTAAATCTGGTGTTCTCTTTTTTATTCATTTTTTCCTACTTCTTTGCTTTGCTGTGATTTCTTTCTTGTTATTTGCTCGTCACAAGATGCGGAGGGCACGTTGCGTGGAGGTTCTTTGACAGGTTCTCGATAGATTAAACCCCAACAATATATACCATATATTAAGAAAAGCCACTCCTTTGGTCATCGTGAGCCACATTTTTAGAATTCCAGAGATGCCCTTTAATCTAAAAAAAATAATTGCAAATGCTCTCATACTTAACAAAAACAACAAAAATGTCCTCACATTTCATAAAATCAAAGGAAATATCCTCACATTTGGAAAAATCACAGAAACGCCATTA